TAAAAATATATCATGCACCATGACATGTATTGTGAATGGAAGGGATGTCAAGAAAGACAAGAAGAATCTTTAGACCACAATGTTAATTTCACGGTCATAACAAAAATAAATCGAATCCAAGTAGCTGTCAAACGTCATAACATACAGCTTCACATCAACCCATGTGTCAATTTGTAGGAACTTCCAAATACTAAGAGATACTTTGTACGGTGTTTAATGTCCTGACTGCTCGTGTCGATAACTATATTGTCAAAATTTATCAACCTGTGTTGTGTCTTCAAAGCTGTTATAGTGAACCACAGTGGTCAGTACATAAGTGACTGTGACACTTAGTAGTATGGTATCAAAGTATGCTAGAGCACAATTTATTTTAGAATAACTTGATGTTCAATAAGATATAATGGAGCGTGAGTAAATGAGCTGTTGTGCATAAACTTGTGTATATCATTTCACAGTTTCTACATATTATATTAATTGTGTTTCCGGGCCATTGTATAAACATAAGTGACATAATTAACAGTCGTTCACAACCAAGTTAGTTGATCAGCTAATTTGGTGTGCTAGCCGGCTTAGTTGTCGAGTTTATTTAATTTACCAATTAACCACTGCTTATTGACTGAGTTGGTGTTACCTCGCTTCGACATACTAAACCGTCTCCAGTTATGGGTTTCCATTTGATTGAGTCTATGGGCCTGTGTAGTGAGAGGAAAGACAGTTTGAAATCAATTACGTATGAGTATTGAGTAGTGCTATCGCGGTAATTTATAGCGTCGCAAGCAGTAGCCTAGTCACAAGTGGGTTCAGTCGAATCACGTAAAAGTTGCAACAATGAATGACTGAATGTTTTCACCACTGAGACTAACGTGAATAGAATATGTTAGTTTTGTATCATACGCATTAGTAGCTTCTAGCCCTATCAGAATAGCGAAATCACTATGGTAGGCTCTATAAGAACGCTGACGGTTGATGATATGGAACTTAATGAATACCATCTGCAATGGCTAACCATGTTGACCTGAGGAGCTCAGTTTGGCTACGATCAAGTAAACGTACATGTCGATTGCTAGATATACTCTGTTTACGCACGTGAAATAAGAACGGGACAGTGTCAATCAAAAAATGAGGAAGCCCGAAACTGTTGAGGCGAAAGTTCACGTTGACTACCGAGTGAACTCTGCATGGGTGACAAAATAAAATCGGGTTATAGTATCTATAATGAGCTGCATGGCAAAGTAGGATTTACATAAAGTTTAAGGAGTCTGAGGGATAGATGTATGACCGAACACAGTCAGTCGGGCAGATCGGGATACTGTTGTAGGTCCTACCCGCTTCTCATACATAGTTGGTTAGGAAACGGCATGGCTCACTGTTATGTGTGATATACTTGTACCTTTCCTGTCTTTTCACTGCTCTGAGCAACACAGATTTAGACAAGAATTTGTTTGGACAAAATAGTGATTCTGCACTCCTTAAGTGGGGAGTGTCTAGCAAGGTTAGGCGTTGGCACCACTGACATTCCACTTTTCGGCACCAGCATCTCTGAATTGTGGCTTTGATTTACAGATCGTGATTTGAGCTCTGATTTGATGGAGTATCTAAGGAAGTTGTAATCGATATTGTTGTCAGTATTTATTGTATCAGTGGATAAAAATGTATTGATTGTTAAAGAAATAGATCCCTCTGTCGTTATTCGTTTACCAGTTCTCGTCCGGTATCTGGAGGTAGTTAATAGAAATGTGCTTCAATTGCAACACTAAATGTAGCGAACGAAACCCCAGTATTTGGTTTAAAAGCAGAGCTAACGAAGCAAAGTTTATGTGATTATGTAAAACTAAATTGTTTTGTATAACGTACGAAACGTTTTTGAGGGACTCACATTAAATTACTGTGATATTCATAAGTATTTGAATTATAGTATGAACTAAGAATCCCCGAAATAATATAATCGGATCAAGAAGTACTAGAAAACAACAAACGAATGTACTGTATTTATAATTCGAAATCAAACATTCAACAAGTACGAAGGAATCATTAGTTCATTCAAACACCACAATTACATCAAATACAAACTCCGTGCCAAATTTAAATAGTTCTAATCCAAGAAAGCAAACAAATTATACTGAAGAACAAGATACCTGTACTATACAGCCAGTTTTCCTTAATACAAAACGCATGGCTAAAAATGAGTGTTCGGTACCTAAGAATTAATAAGTATTTTCTACAAAATTGGATAAAATATCTATCTGCAAAGATTCGAGTGATTATTTCAGTCAGACAGCCGAAGATCACAACATTTAACTGAACCACGCCGTAACCTTAAACTTAGGTGAACACAACCTCATTGTCAATGGTAAAGCAACATTCAGCAGTCAAATTAATTATTGAGGATAAACCCCAAACCAAAGCTCTGTAGTAAAAGTCCAGACAAATAAGACTAAAAAACGTGAAACGTGGTTGCAAAAGTCGTGAGGGAAAGTTAAAATACAAGACAGGGAAAAAGAAATAGCAATACTGTCCAATGAAATGCTGTGGAGGGATCCTTAGCGTTTTCGTTCTATTACACTGAATGTACCTTAACATAAATGATTTTGGCATGTTTTCCCGTCGTTTACTTCGTTAGTGAACGAATTAATCTTGTTAGTTAATTCGGAGGTTTAGCGTGAAATCGTCTGTACAACACAAACCTAACGATGACCAAGCACGCAATCATACATAGATTCATTTACTTATTCTAAGATAATTTATACTCCCCCCTATTACCTAATTCTTAAAATAAATTTTATTCACACATTTCCATCACCTGATGCTCTTAAATCATCTTAACTTTCCAAACCCTATTTAATTATTATTACGTAATCTACCTTATCATTATTTAATTCCATTAATCTCTACAATTATCACACAATTTATGAACTTCACTAAATTATTACACCACCCACCCTGGATTAACCCCCCTCTTTTGACCTCTGACCTGTTTCTAGCATATATATATATAGTTATTATTGTAATCACGTTATTTACACTCATTTATGTCAATTGTTTCACACTATCTCCATGTAAAAATTCTATCACAATTTTGGTTTGTAAGCAGCTGACGAGAAACCTCGAAATAATATGAATTCATACTATTCTGCATCAATGTTTGTTCTTGTTCTATTTAAATTCATAAAGGGAACCAATTGTATGAAATACATAGATGAATTGGGGCACTTCAGAAAGTAAGCATATCAGGGAATGCACATAATTCACCATCACCACTGAATGTTAAACAGTTCAACCAAAGCTCATCAATTAATCTCATGCCAAGGACTGGCCCATCTCTGTAATCACGTCGTTTGTGTTATACGGTCTTCAAAGCAACCATAGCACCTTGATAGGTCGAAAGGGTGATTCATATTAAATGCTGTCCACGAGGTGTGACTTCTAATTTGACTGTTGATCACACCATTCTCGTCTAACTCGAGTAGGCCTTTCAATTATTTGACATAGATCATCTACGTTGCTGATCTACACTAGAATCTATAATTATACTCACACGCTCCATTGATTTCTATAACTAATAAATGCTAGATTTCAAATGCTTTAATATCAGACTTATGTTTGAACTAATACTTGTAACTAAATTATTTTAAACCATCGACGTGTAAGTATGAGTGTGAATGGCTGGTTCACTAGAATTTAAAACATGGAGTATCGACCTGAATGTACTAATATTCCAGTGAATACTTTCTCTCGGGAGATCGTAAAGTTATCTGTATTGCTAAGCAATGAAAGTTATTCATGATAACAACATATAAGTGTCAGTAGTATCACTAAGTCTTATTATAGTTAAATAGTAGTGACGCCGAACCAATCTCTCCAACAATGTCACATTGCTGACTACATGACAGTACTGTATATTTCAGAATGATTTTGTAAAATAAATTCATTCTATATCACTCTTTATTATCATAATTGGACTTCATTTTACAATCAAATGGCCAGTGCGTCAAATCTTATATAACGCATATCGATGGTGAATCTAGAAAATCGAGGTCCTTTTCACGTTAGAATTACCAACCAGATGCTCGCATCTTTTTCTGGCTCATCTTTGAGTTTATTAATACCCAGAGGATTCTTATCATTCGTTAGATAACTTAAGACGCATTATGACCCCATATGATTCGAGACTGAATTATACTTGTACGGTTTCTATCGAGAATAAGAATGATGGCAGTGATAAAACACTGAAACCTAACATCCAGAATATAGCATTGCTCTGCCCTAGATCTACCACTGCAAGTTGAATAGTTGGGGGTCAAGAAGGCAAAATACGAAAACACTATCTAGACTACATGACTCAGCCAAACAGTAGTGGTAATTCCATGTGCTTGTCGTTTTTGTACTGAATATATCTATACTGTCAAAATTGCATTCGTTCATCAATTGTTCTTGAATAGCAGGAAACCCTGACAGCTGCGACAGAGAAGACGATAATGGGATTTCGACGTTAGCCTGGAACTCTTCATTTTCGAAATAGGCTCGTTCTTGGGACAAGAGCAGACCAGTGAAATCTGCCCGTGATACCATGATGACTAGGAGTATTCGAATTCATGTACCAACTAGGAATTCCCGAAATCGTGCAATTTACAGCAAGTAGAACTAGATAAGCACAAATGAACGTATTATATTTCGAATTCGTAATCAGCGGGCAACCAAGTATAGAAAAATCATTAGTTCGTAGGAATACCAGATACCTACTCGGTTATATGTACGACAGCGGTTCAGAATTTCTATCAATTTCCGATCCTAATGGATCTTCGAATTGTCTCATGGTACTACAATATCCGAAGAACATGAATTGTCTGTCTCGAAACTAGAGGATCTATTCACTTTTGTTTGTTAAGTTCCTACCTTTGGACTCCACCCTGAGGCATCGATTAATAATACCCTGTGATGCATACAAAAATATCTAATTTAATAAAATAGTGTGTTGGAATAAATCAACAAAAAGGCCATCTGCCAACAAACTCTTGTATATATTATGAGTAAGATGTAATGCATGAATACAGATATATATTACAGAAAATGTTCGATGCTAAGAGATGAATAAAAAAGTAGTAAGTTGGTAAAGAATTCCCGTAACATTTAGCAACTTCACATAAGCAAAAGCCTCCCAATCAATACATTAGAACAGAAGAATCTGTAACTGAACAACTAATAGTTTACAAGTATTATTAGGAATTTAGTAAGAGATTTATTGGTAACAACAACGAAGAGAGTATGGTACGATAAACTAATGTTTCAACATTCAAAGTAGGTCAGAACTTGGAAATATAGACAATAGAAGTTATTACTACAGAACAAAGTGTAATAATGAATAGATTCCAAACAGTCAACAGACAAATCGTTTACAATGGAATGAAGAAAAATAAATAAACTACATAGTCATAACGTAGAATCTGCACTTATGTACACTGCTTCATGTTGTTATACCCCATTAGCACAGAGATGTCAGGGGAAACCCCAAGATAGTAGAAATAATAACAGTTTCGGTGGTAATTTAAAAAGTTAAGCATCAAAGATATGGTTAGAGAAGAAAAAACAAACTAGTGAAATAAAAATAGAAGTTATGAGCAATTTAAAATTTCAGGATGTGGCGGAAGACAGAAAGTGAATGCACTTGCGCCATTGCAAACAATTTTGAGCCATGTCATTCAGTTTCTAACCATTGGTAACGATAATCACGTGGACCCCAACGAGATAGTCTACATCTATTAACATGGCTAAGTTCAGTCTGCCTCTGCACCTAAAGACATCGCCCGTTGAGGAAGGCAGTGGTTGGTCATGCATAACACATATCCCAACTACATCAATTGATCAAGATTTACTATCTTATCAATCGATTCTTCATCTTCACCTAGTACTCTATTCTTGACTCAGGCACTGCTTACTTCCTGGTCCCAAGATACATGAGTAATATTTCGTGGACACCTATGACCCAATACCAGCAAAGTAGGAATATCCTCTACTCATAATGGCCATAACGTCCAAAAGAATTCCTGTTAGATATAACAGAAAATTTATACAACCCGCTGACAGATTTAAACAGTGTGCATTTCGTTGGTTCCTGCTTTGCAGTTTTCAGTGCAGTATGAAAAAACTCACTACCCTTTCGATTTTTAAATTCCAAGTGATAATTGTGACTTTAAGGTACTGATGGTAGGGGTAGATATATCGAGCAATACAGGTGGATCCTTCGGACTGTTTGGACATATTTTTCATTATCATATTAATTATTTCCACCTTTAATTCCTTTATGTTTCGGTTAGCTTCAATCTTCAGTGTAGAATAACACTCATTTACCAAAGGTTTAACTTACAGCCTGGTATTAAACCCTAATTAAGGGGAAATTTACACACAAAATCGACTTGTCTGAGATATCCCAAGGCAAAAAACAGAGGAATACAAGCTAGTCTACCACAAAGTATCTAATTAGTCTCGGTCTGAGTGACTAACAAGGGATAATTATTTGAAATTGCAAGCCAGCAGAAAATTTAACGCCTAAAGGTATTATCTTAACAGTATTTTAGATCCGACAAATGTAACTCCTGCATAACTATCCGCTCTTCAAGGCTGAACAAAAGAAATATGGGTTCTGATGTCAATATACCTCAAAAGACTTAAATCGCAAGGTTATTTTTATAGTCATACAAACCCCGAAAGGATACACTAGTTCTCAAGCCTTTTCTTATAACTGTAGTGAATAAAGGACATAAGGCTTCACATCCTTATTCAACGAGTGAAAATAATCGTCATATATAGTATAACAAATATCTTAGTGATCTGAGAATAGAAGCTCAGAAACAGGAGATAAGGTCATGGTCAAATTTGGGCAAGCCAACCAATCTAAATTTTATGTAACACAGAAATCAGTCGGTGAATTTACTGAGTCACTGAAATATACCTTCCTCAGTTAACTGCGAAGTTATGTCATCTATGCAATTCACATAGATTTCAGAGTCTAGAGAACATAAAATATTTGTTTTTCTAGAAAGACAATTATTCCCGCCTCCGAATGTTTTATCTCACCGTTACTTTTTGGTACAAGTTTTCATCAAAAAGATGACTTCGCAAACTTTTATAATCAGTAATCTAAAACTTACAGTACAATACGCAAGTTTCATATCCAAAATGAGTCACTTTAAGCGGTTTGTTTAGTTCGGAAGGTCCTAAATCATTTTCGCATAAAATACCAACCATAAGTTTTAAACATTATTACTAAACTTTAGAACATAGTATAACATGACTTATTGCATAAGGTGAACTAAGTTTCACTCTGCACTTATTGTATAAACAAATAAGTATTAAGGTCTATCGATTGAATGCATCTAATTAAGTAGGAAATCAGGACAAACTGAATCATATGTACAAGAATGGCAACTTCTGCTTAAAAAGCAGGAGAGAAATACACATTTAGTAACTTATAACAAACATCTAAAGTGAACCAAAGAATACAATGATAAAATAAAATAAACACAGGTAAAGATATCTCAGCAGTTAGTCTGTTCTTGCTTGAGAATCATTATTGGGCTCATCAACAATAATTTGATGACTATGGGCTGATTCCCCCAGAAAAAATGAAGTACTGTTTGTTTGGTTTATAGGTGTTTGAGGTGGAATACGACGTGCAACCATAGTTACAGTTAAAACTTGTACATCGGGTGAGTTAGGTTGGTTGGTTGGATTTTCTGATTGTTGATTTGACAGTTCATTACTGCTTGGAAAACCAAATAATGAAGCTATTGTCGAGACAGCATTCACAAGAGTAGCAGTAAATACGGCTCCACAAAAGAACACTGTTAATGTTACTAAAGCAAACGTAGACACTGAATTAAAATATTGTCTATAGACAATCCTAAAAAACCAAGTGAAAAGTAGGAGGAAAGCGAAAAGTGGTTTCATAAGCCTAGTACCTATATCAAACTCAGTTAACATTGAATCGCTGGAAGAACTTGGGAAAGCGAAATTACGTCCTGTGTTTCCGGAATCGTTTACCGAGGATGACCTGGTAGGTGATGATACAACAGGAGTTGTAACAAGACAGTGAATTGTTGAGCCATCAGTTATACCATAGTCACATAATCTTTGACGTTTTGGTCTTCCACTACTATGAAAATTTGCTTCATTTTGTAAAACATCCAGTAACTCTCGGCCTTGAAAGATAAGCCTGACGTTCTTTTTCTGATTGATTAATTCATCTACAAAGTGCTTCCTGAAAACAAGTAAAAGTATCTAGGTTCAGCAAAATTTAAAGCATGGTAATTATTATAATGCTAAATGTAAGCCATATTTAAGTTACGTAAACAATGTGAAAATGTTGTTGCTAACGAAGGAAACTAAACCGTCAGTCAGTAAACATTATAACGGTCCGAACCAAGTATCCGTTAGACAAAATCACCACTTTTAATTCTTAATTAACATGGTAATCTATTAAAGTAGATTAAATATATTATTTGGGCATTATATATATATATATATATATATATAATTTATTTATTTATAATATCGGTAAATAACAATTAATCAGTCTGGGTTCGCGTACGAAAATATAGAACATGTTGAGTGAAAAACATAAAGATAAAACGAAAACGTACTTCTTAAAACGATTAACAGACATAGTGGGAGATGCATGTACAAAACGTGATTCTTCATTAAGATATTGCAATTTTATGACTAAATGTCCATTAAAACAAGATGTAGAATTAATTTGTCCTTTTTCTTTTGTTCTACTCGTTTTCGATTCCTCATCGGATGAAGATGAATTTCTTTGATCATTTGAAGTGATTGAAGTCTGAACTAGATGAATTAGATACAAGTAAAAATAGTTGTTTAATGAACATCTGGTCAATTTTGTGGACTAGGAATACTATGGTCATTCTTTTGAAAAAACTAAATCCTTATGCCACAAGGTGCATTTAAAAAAAAAGCGATAATGGTGTCCACATTACTTTGATGTGATAAAATCAAGTTAAACAATGGTCAGAATACTTTACGCGATTTTTTTCAGTATATCGAAACCTTAACATCAAACGTAACCTTACATTCCAGTGAAATCCGATAAAAATAAGTTGTAAATAACAAAAGCAGTTTACGTATGTGTAGTAGTTGTAAACAATGACAGAGTAAATAGTCATTAACGCACTGACCGTTTTGACGCAATTGAGAGACTGTTATCGAAATTCCCAGTAAGTTTAAGTACACGGTTTTTATTTGCAGTTCCTAAATGTCCAATCTACGTTTACGGTCTCGTTATCTAATCAATCCTCAGAAGCAATACATGAAACCAACTATGAACCAATGACATTTTTATTCTCAACACAAAAACGATTACGGTGTTCAAATTGCTACAGATTAAATCTTCTGACGTGTGAAGTGACCAAGTAAGACAACTGAAGTTAGAGTAAAAATGTACATCCAAAACTGACGCGGAAGTTTATAGGCCTATAAAGGGTGTATTTCTCACTTGATCTCAAGCTACATATCAGTAAAACGAATTTGAACCATAATGCATATACGACGCTTCTTGGGTAACGTTATAATAACATCAATTTTTTACTCTCAGCACACAGAATTAGAACTACTGACAAGTAGCTCGATTTGTTTTAATTGTAGTAGAAATAGTGACTTGAACTTTAGAATCATAATTGAAAAATCAGTCATACTTACCAGATGAACGTTTGTGAATGCATGTATCGGAATCGATTTCATCCTCGGAACTAGAACCCGAAGTTTCTGAGAAAATATTACCCGATGAGTCGATGTTTTCAGGTTCTACAGTTCCTGGTGCATTTGTCGTTTCTGTTTCAGTATCATGGTTTCTGTGAGGATGGCGGAGCAAGGTTATTCTAACAGGCATCAACTCCCAGTTAACCCTTGTAGAGATCCAAGCCGCAATAAGAAACAAAATCGTTCCCATACAAGTGATGACAAAAAGTAATTCATTTCCAATCCCCTCAATAATGTTTCCATATGGGTTCATTAGACCTGTAAAATTTGGATGAAAAAGACCCGTAATTACTAGTATGTACGTTAATTTATTCCTATTGGTTACCGAGATACACGCAAGTTAAGTCGAACTGCCAAAAGTATGTATACCAAATATTTAGATACCCAGAAAGATTGGATTATTTTTGAGTTTCAACACAACAGTACGAGCAGTTGTAAAATGATACACTCGATCTAAGCGCAGATAAAGGTGGCACTTAGATGATAAATGTGTTAGATTTGAGAGGATTTTTAATGAAACAGATCATTCGGACAGAAAAACATGATAGGACATAAGAATTCCAGATAAAAAATGTAACGCAGAAACAACGAAAACTGTATTTATGTTTGGATGTACCACTAATGTATAGATAAGGTACAGAGATATAAAAGTTTTAAAACGATAGTAAAATATGGAAGCTTATTAACGCTGGAGGGTTAAGAGCTATAAGTGGATGATGAGCAACTTATCAAGTGGAAAGATGATTTTATGAATCAGGACAGAAAACCAGTCGTTTTGGCATAGAACCCTTCTGCTCCTATGTATAATTTGTTGGACACTGATTTATCTCGCTTACCACAATTACCTATTTCTGACAACAAAACCATCTCATTCCCACTTTCTTCCCCTCTCAAGTGTCTCCGTGGTTTATTGACGGGGATAAAAACTACTCATGTATGCTAAGCCTCCGTTTGTTAGTGTTTTTTGTGCACTTATATTAAATATTAAGATTGTAATGACAAGCGCCCTGGTACGACCGAGGGTGGGGAGAGTCGACTCTCCCTCTACAGGTACTATCATATGGCCACGTGCATACAACCACTGACACGGAAGTCCTACTCAGTGCCTGCTCGAGGCATTGCTGTTGTTTACGAAACTGAGAGGACGAAAAACGAATGTCCGGCTTTTTAAACGGTTTGGTGAACACGGAGAGTCGACCTACGGGAGTTGGAAAACCCTGATTCCAAACCAATGGTGCACATGAGCACGAAGATTCTGAAGGAACAAATGGAGTATGAACCAATCGTTGGTCAACAGCTACCATGTGACAACATCTTATGACGTTGCTCCAGTGCCTTGTGAATCAGACCTTCAGGTCGAAGGCTCCGGGGGTTGCCCCCTAGGAAAACCACCTGCTTCTATTTTGGCACCCGGGTAGTACTAAAGCCAACACATAAATCAAGTGACTTGTGTGGGACATATGAATTCGGTGACCATTTGTACCAATATTTGCGTTCAAATAAATAAAATGAAAAGCATGTATTACTGAGATTCCGAACGAATTGGTCCTTTGAGGTGGCTGCATATTCAGAATCCTTAAATTTTGAAAATTGTGGTTTTGGCTTCTCGCAGTATTTTAGAGGAAACACTAAAAAGTACTCTAACCATGAAGAATACAAGTCATTTACGTAAAAAGCCAACTTTACACCGAGCACGGCTAAGGACCACTTAGTTATAGGCCTACTGAGTTTAGCTCCTTTTCACTGTTATCTGAACTTTTTAACCACTGATAGTAGGCGCGACATCAACGATTGTTAATTTTGAGACGATAGTTTATATATAGGCGTTTTTATATATTCCTTGAGCTGCCAATGAAGGTTCTAATGGGAAAGATTTTCGGCTAAGATGAGCATGTTCAGTTTTATCATATGTCTTTATATACAAATATGTTTACAGACTAATGAAAAAATAATTACTATCGAACGAACTCATCCTACCGGAGTAACGAAATAAACCACATTGCGCGGCAGAGTTTGACGTCGAAACTCGTTTGTCCAATATCTTTGTAATGCAATTTGTTATGAAGTAAATAGTTACTGACATTTTAAATCCTATAAATAATACGGAATAGCGGCCGTGGATTATGTTGGTGGACTAAATCGTTTGTTTGAACTGATTCTCGTTGATTCGACTGGCCATTGATGTATTATTTTCTTTGCTAATTAATATGGTGTCGTAAGAGTAGTTGAAAATCACTTTTTCAACGCATTTACATTCTCCTACAGTGGATATATTTAGACGAAATTAGTTGTGTTTAAATGCCATAGTATGTTCTCTTGAGGGGGGGGGGACAGTGGAAATAGACATTTTTGTAATCAGTTCACTGTCATGACGTTAAGCTATATTGTCGAGGACTTTGGGATTTCGTTATTTATCATTCATGAACAGCATTTTTTCCACCTCACGTCAATTTTTATAGTGTTTTCGCTTGCTACCTGGCTTTTATTCCAGTTTATTAGGAGTTTGACGTATTTGTCCCTCAGAACTTGGTTGAATGTTTGGCAAGCCTAATGTGGATATTTGTGAAAAAGAGAACTGAGGCAAATGGACTTTACCATATAAGAAGTCAAAAGTAGACCTCAATCAGAGTTTTGTGGAAAACTGAGCTCTAAGACCTTTTATATTTGATTTGTGGTGGACCTCCCCTAATTACGATGCTGATGAACACTGATGTTGGAAGTTGTTTGTAAAATGAAAATTGGAGCATTTGAGCGTTTAACTATTTATGAATGTTAAATAACTTATTAATATACAGCCATAAACAGTTCTTTCCACTATATGTATAATCGTTTTCGACTGAACTGACATATTATTGTGTAAGGTGTCTGAGAAAGAAAAATTAACAATTGACGTTGATATCCTTTTCTGTCCTCGTCATGAACATATACAGGAACATTTGTGCAAGCTATGGGTTTGGCGTACATATTTTTCTTTTTGACAATTCAGTGGCTGCGCACGATCATTCGTATTGTTGCCGAGAGTCAAAACACTTCCACTGAACGCTACCGCCCACATACTTATACGAGACATCCAGAATCGATGAAGATTCTCACCCACTCGTCTGTTTCTTTGGGTAAAAATTCTGAAATACTGAATAAATATACAGGATAAATATATTTAAGCAATATCTTACAACAGTTTCTACGATTTTTAATCTACTTGGGTACGTTCTCAAGATTTTGTCGCAAATCTAAAGGCAATTTCATTTAAATCATGATTGCTGTAACTTTTTACGGAAAGCGCGACACACTTGAAAGGCGCACAAAATTAGATTTGCATTACCATGTGTAAGACGGACAGCCGCGCTTTCCCCATGTGTGCGATCCATAACGAAAGTTTGCGTTTTTGATGTATTTCCCATTAATTCTCTGAATTTGTCCATGATCCACGATACGTCTGCTCGCAATTCTTTTTGCATCCATGCAGACAGAACAGAACGCCTTCGTCCAACATTATTGGATATTCCCGACTGGTATAACGAATATCTACAAAGTGGAGTTCAACAAAAAGCATATTCACATTTTATGATTGAAATTGTAAGTAGAATCAATACAAACAACTTCTGGATATTTGTTATATAATTGTATCTGCTCATATGTACTAAAGCAGATTCTCGTTACATATCCGTTTTCTGAATACTCTCTCACTTCACCCTTTTGCCGCAACATATCGATTACTTGCATCCGCGTGTAACAACCTGGAATATGCTCCTATACACTTACCTATAGAGAGTTGAGCTTTCATAATCTTTACACCAGCACCAGTGACCTGCCTACCAGTTCGGCCATTAATGCTTTCTACTAATTCATCTGTTGATTGTGACTACAATATCACCGGCTTTAGATTTTTTTCTTCTGACGACATCTTTCTGGTCATGCGTCACAAACTATCTATGAACTACGACATGGATGGTTGTGTAGCAACTTGTATGATTTTATGACATATTCTTCACCTTTCAATCTTACACGGAAACTTGATTGACAGTTTGGAAACTTAGACATTAAGCGTCACATATTAGTTGAAGTTCTCACGGTTTTTGATTCACTGTCAGACATTCTCATTTACGCTTATGACCAAACATGCACTGGAACATTACAAACAAGTATTTATATCTCATGTTCTTCAACAATTTACTTTCTGTATGAATGTGGTGAGTGTGGGTAGTCTGCGAAGGGACAAAATTATTCTTCCATACTTTTTGGAATTCCTCTAGCGCACTATCAAGTTTAATCCAGATTCCTAAAGGCCTGTTCAGTATTATACACTGAAACGCTTCGCTTACGCCGACTGACATGTCTGTTGATCATGAAGCACTACAAACAGCACTCAAAAATTGATAAAAATCGTTATTTCTTTCAATAATAATTTGCTAAGTGAAGGAAGTACTACAAATATTTAAGACTTACGGTTACTTGACATTTCGTCTTAACCTTTGTGTTGAACAGTGATTCACACAAACTTTGAGTATATACAGCTGTTACGTTTATCTTATCTTTGTTACGTTGTTTTCTGGACCTTATCAAAAAATTAAACAAAGTCATTTAGGTTTCATACAGCGATTGTAATCACAGATCAAGTTTCGAAGCAACAATAGAGGCGACGTGTACACTAGAAGACAGAGAATGCTAAATTAATGCTTTCGGCAGTTACTTTGTGCTTTTTAATGCAGCAGAAGACGAATTAAATAGGAGAAGACTTATATTCATGCAACCAAAAGAACCTAAGGCAATTGAAATACGGAATGACCGCCTCTTGTCAGGCCGTTCAAGGTTGTTGAAACGAAACGGCGGTCGGCTTTATAAATATCTGGCATTTTTACCGTACCGTAATTAGTTTTGTTACTATTTGCATTTTTCTTCAATTCTTAAAACTTGTACAATTACCATTATTACTTGTGAAACTGTAGTTTAAAATATGAACTTCGACCTTCCGTTCCGATTTGTGAATACACATAAATAACCCATTGATTATCACTCACAAATACTCTGCTGCACACATGGACTGATACAGTTTCTGGACAGATCAGTCTGTCCATCATCCGTAACCGCACTTCGACCTAGTCACTTATTGGCTTATTTATTCTGACTGTTTTTGTATGATCGTATATGTGTTGATTGCTTATCCCATTCACCATATAACTGTAAAATGTTTTTGGTCTGATTATAGATATTGAGTAACTCCTGGTTATATTGAGTTGACTTAGTTGACTTCTCCGATCCATTTTGCTTCGCTTTCTCTTATTCGCTTTTTTCACTACGTTTCTCTGATTGTCTGTTCCAATCAACCATCGTATGAAATATACGTATTCAAACTCAATCCTCGTATTTGACTTATTTAGTTCGGTTACTCACTAACGCGATTCAAGTCGATGAAACATGCGAAGATAGCCGACGTGTGTATTTCGACGACAATCAGCATACAATTCGACTGAAGTCGGATACAGAGCCACTAAACCTTAAACCGCGTGGAACTACAATGAATAACGACTTTCATTCAGTTTTTCAAGCAGTAATTACCAGTTATTAAAGATTCTATTATATGAAGACAATAATTGCAAGTTGATCTTCTGAGAAAAGTTACTGACAAGATTTTAATAAAATGGAGTAAATCAAGAGTTTATCGAAAGAGAGGAGATTTTATACCACCATATTTAACTGAATCAGAAGTGAAAGGCGCTTGGAAGGCTTGAGAATATTGATCTGGAAAGCTTGTGGACGCTTAGTTCATTACAGCTGGACAAATATGTGACGATTACTCAGCAGATGTCGTAGTCACACAACACGGCAAATGTTTATCTGGGACCACCTTACCGTAGTGTTTAAAATTTTTTATATTAACAGGTTTGAGGTTTTGTCGCGAAATTCACTCATCTATTCGGCTCATTGATGTTCTGGCATTATAAGTGATGTCATTCCGTGATGAAAACCCTAAATCTAATTCTGAATCTTAACCATCATCTGTAAATCTTATTTCTGTTTACTCACACTGGTTTATAACCTTCATTTGGTCCTAGTTCTTAGATGGACGTTCAAGGTTACTCTATCGTCGTTCAAATGTTGTCAATAAGTTATACTTTCATCTAAATCTATGATAATTCAGTTAAATTTGACTTCTCAGTAGGGTGGTTAGATAAAAAAATAAAGTATAACGACAAGAATTGAAAGTGTTTGAACTTAAATTCAATGGAACTACATCTTTTGTTGAACTTTGTCGCGAATAAAACTAATATTTCGAGTATATAATAATTGAAACAGTCATCTTTCTGAGACTTGTTGCATCTAACAACTTATTTATTCTTTCTGTGTTTGAGGACTTTTATTATTTAATTGAAGAGAATTTTTAATTTAGAATATCAGTCACCAGTGCCTATATTAGCAGATTTCTTAGGAATAGGTTCCACTAGATATTGAAATACTAAGCCATCGAATCACTCACTGTTTAGTGAAATCTAATCAGAACAGTATTTAAACCTTGTATTCTTTGATTCGGATCTGTTATTTGTGAATTTTATAATATTTACATAACAATGTCTATTGGTTTATTTAAGTTATTTAAAGTTTATGTGAATAATGAAATATAGCTTATGTGTTTGAGGGTGAGACATTTTCCGCAGAAAACCATATAAAGAAGTCTGACATATTTGTCTTTGCAGATGACAAAAACTTGAAATATTATAAAATGTATGATGTGAGAGCATAGGACTAAAACCGAATGGTATTTATAAATGCATTAATAATAAAATACATAAGAAGAATGTAGATTTTCTCTTAGTGCATTTTAATAAGTTAGTGTCATCTTTGAAATTCAGTGATCACTAATTCTAATCTGTGACTTATGCTTAGAATGCTTATCATCAACATACCTGAGAAATACTATTTTACATGATTTGTACCCAAAACTGGCTAGTTTTATGCATAATTACATCTTTACAAGTCATTAAGCAGTTATGATATGTTGTTAATATGAAGACACTTATACTTAAAGCGCAAAGAAATCTGTCTTACGTTTATTAATCTTTAGTGCTTAAAACGGTCAAAGATTGT